AAATTTGAAGCTGAATTAGCAATTTATGATGATAACATTTGCAAGTTATCAACTCATGAGAAATTCAAGTGCTTGCTAGGCACTAAAGATAGCTTTATTGTCAATTGCTTGGGAAAATTTATTGATTTTATTTCTAAGCTTTAGTTTAGTCTATTGTTTTATTTGTGTTTTTCTTGACCATTGATTTATTGTATGTTTTTTTCATTCATGCTAAATTTTGTGTCAAATAAAATATCTATCTATCTATCTATCTATCTATAAATCGACGTTCGGATAATCGACGTTCTACTGTACTTCATCATGACTACATGTACTAGAGCTTGTCTGAAATGGTTATACCTGTGACAGTAATACAGTACGAGATGTGTATATCAACATGTGCCTCCTACAAATAAAGACTTCTTGTTGTTCTTTGATACATTGTGTTCTGTGGTCCAATTCGTAATAGCAGCTCCGTAGTCCTGTGCTTTTAGCAGGATTTTTTTTTTTTGGCAGGATTTTTTTTTTCGCCCTCTCGCATTAGTTTTGGGGTCTCCAGAGGATGTCATCCATAAAATTATATCAGTGTGGCCTAATGAATGTTCTAAATTAAGGGAATTGCGACTAGAATGTCAATTTCAGCATACTGGTCCACTGTCACGGTTGCCATGGCGAGGGCATTTCAGTATTTCTAAATAATGTTTCTGTCATGTATGCTACTGGTGAATTTGGAGTAAGTGCAAAATTTAATTAAAAAGATCAATTAAATATTTACTATGTACTATAATACTATATTAAAAAAAACGGCTGGCGACTGTGGATTGTTTACTCGCGTGAAATAAGGTACTGCAATCATACAATGAACAATTTAACTGAATTAAAATTACATATGTTGTTTCTAGATCGGAAAGCTACTAAATATAATTAGTTGCCATTATGCTGATTTCCAGGAATATATACAGCGCATACTAATGTGATCGCTGATGTTTCTGGTTTGACTTGCTGACACCAATTAGATAATCAGATTTAATCTTAATTTAAAGATCTCCACGAATGACACACCACTGATGTATTTATTACCAATTTTAAATCTTATCTAATATTCTTTAAAATTCAAGTTAATTGAGATAATTAATTGAAACTGTTGGGCGCGACAGACTAATCGAATCATATTAAATTCTATGTAGGCCCCATTTTTTTCTATATATTCTTAATTTTGTTTATTTCTTGACTTTACTTGCCGTTATCAAGTTTTTTCACATCGCACCGAGATACGATATTAAAAAAGACAACTGCAAGTAAAGCAATAAAAGTCATAAATAAACAAAAATGACAATAAAAATATAGAAATTGAAAAAAGGGGAACATCGGATTTTAATCAGATTGCAGACTGATTGTATACAGCTTTGGCTTTGCATTTTTGACTTGTCGGAAAAATATTGTTCGGGGAAAATTAAAAAAACTTATCCTTTTCTTTATATTTTATATGTAATCATAAACTCTTTATTGAAAAGAGGATCTGATGTTTATTCCTTATATCATTCTAAATACCCACCACCGCCACCACACACGCCTATCACACCAACCTCGCCCGAATACAACATATGGCTAATTTAAAAGCACGGAAAAGTTGTCACTATTCATGATACAGGTCGAGGACGAGTATACAGCAGTTCGTGCGTCAAACATATACTCTTGTTAGATGAAAGCTATGGTTACTATGGTAACAACAGTCCGGCTACTAATAATGAGTTTGTTTATACTTTCACTCACTATACTAATTAGAGTTCAATGATCATTACATTGATATTAGTCAGACTTCTTGCTTATTTTCTTGTACAACTCTGCTTTAGGCTAATCACACAAACAAAGTCGCTATTCAGAAAGCAGGGATTCCAGTTTAGTGCGTCTCAATACTTCATCGACGCAAAACCTAACCTCTTTACGACGTACATGGTTACCACAAGAAAGCCGTTGCAAAATAGCAGCTTCAAATGCACCAATCAGCTCTCCCACCTTCATTAAGGAAAGCAATTAATCTACTTGTCGAAGCAAATGATCCGTTCTAAAACAACAGTTGATTAGTCATTTACTTTCATGACGTTTACTTGTGATTATTGAAGTCACATTCCCAAAATACAGTCCTGGTTGGTGTAGTTTGCCTCTGTATGTTTGGAGAGTAACATAAAATCACTACGGCAGACGAGAATATAAAAACTACAAGGGGTAAATGCTTTGTCTGAAACATGTTAAATGTATTGATTTCAGTCATAACAGTGAGCAGTCACGTTGTCAGCTGCCGGCGTGTCATTTAGAATGAAATGTTCGTTTATATTAGGTCTTGTAGCATCAATCAGCCTAGTTCATGTCAACCAATTTAGCGAGTTTATTTTCCCCGCACGTGAAATTACTCTTAATCGCCACTCAGAGAACTTAATTAGCATCTAATCATTTCGGAATGTCGACGTTGGTGATGTTAAATACTGTTATATATGTAGCGTGTTTGTTTGATTTCACATGACGACTGTTCGCGCTTACACAGCAGGTGATTCGAAAAAGTTCAGAAATGGGTGTTGAACAACGAACAGAAAGAATCTACGCTTATCGCCCCTGGATTAAAAAGAAATTGGATTAATACATCAATACTTATTTTAAGCTAAACCTAATCCGAATGGCGGTGACAGCTGATCACGTAATAGTTCAGTGACCTACGCTACAGGCATTAAACATTTTTTCTTAATTTTTTCAATTTAGCTTCTGATTGCTACGATCCAACCAGGCAACTTGTATTAGGAAGAGCCCCAGTGTTTTCCCCTGACCAGGACTTATACACACCTGGTACAACAGTTACATTTTCATGCAGTGACCAAAACGATGAGTTATTCGGTCCACCCTCCGCTAAATGTCAAGACGATGGATCCTGGTCGCTTTACGCTCCTAACTGTTTACGTAAGTATATATAAATTTGATAAGATTATAACGGGAATATAATTTATTTAAATTTATAGTATAAAACAATTCTTTAGATTAGTTTATATTTTGTTGAAGTGTCTCCCAGAATTCGACTTGTAGTTTATATTAACATTCATTCGTTATATTACTTGTTCACTCACTCACAAAGGTATGAATACATAATCGTCTTTATTTACACGGGTAGCACATGTCGCGACACTTTTTAATCTCCAGTTTTTATTACAATTTAACACGCTATTATATCCATCTGACCCAATTACATATATCGATTTTAAACTAGTGTTTTATGTTGGTTTACACGCATTAGGATTAGAGCAAATCGGATTCAAAGTATGTGTACGTTACTGGCATCCCTGGGTCGTATGTGTACTTAGCGATTAGTTGATTGTTTGTTTCGTATTTGTGATCGATATTGCAATAATCAGTTGATTGAAAGTGGATCTATGCAAAGACAAATTCCTTTTGAATTTATGATACGTACAATGAATTTAAGGCGCATGCGCATTTGCGTATTTTGTTAACTTGAATCATCAACCGAATATTACTATGATTGTTAGATCATAATTCAATGTAGATAATAACAGAAAAAATATACTAATAATGACCCATTATCATATACTGTACATTACGTGCGGAAAAATAGCCGAACATGTACATAAATCGGGAGGTTAATCGGTCTAAAATGTATGTGTAGTCTTCCTGGTAGTTTTTAATGAGAGTTCCTCGTACAACATTCTACATTTTGTCGAAGAATAGGGGTCTTAATTATACAATTTTAATTAGAGTGTAGGTTAGAATTAATAATTTTCACAATATAAGTTCTACATGGCCCTAAAACTAGAGGGTTTAACTCTAGCTAGGCCTCAGATTCTGAACTCTCACATCTACAACTTGTAAAGTCTATATGTATCCCTCTTCTTTGTGAGTACAAATGAATGCAGTGTCATTATTATGCCTAGTTGCCTGTGACGATCCTGGTACACCTATTGGAGGAAGCCAAGTGGGGAATCCAACCTACTCGTCCTATACTGATGTTCAGTTTCAATGTGACGTCACTGCGGACGTCACGCCCCCTACTTTGGTTGGTGCAGATACTATAACTTGTGTGGACGGGCAGTGGAGTGGAGACGTCCCATTATGCTATAGTAAGTATAGAAATTAGTCAGCCACATGGCGGTTACATTCTAACATAATTCTTCATAATTTAGTGTGTGATCGAGAAAAGATTACTAAGTGTACACTGCGCCCTCCTCGACGGTTCAATGCTGGGAGCTGACAATAGAGGGCGCAATAAGCATAAGTTCTTCAATTGATGTGAAAACGGCGTGCAGGTTCTACCACAGTATACTGCGGTTACAAAGAACCCACAAAATGTCAATACTGATAAATTTAGCTGTTTGTTCTTCAAGGTAGCTGCCCGGATCCTGGAGTGCCGAACTACGGCTCCCTGGTAACAGCAGCTCCAACATTCGCCCATGGGGAGACGTTGCAATACAGCTGTGAAAACGGATATCAGCTCACAGGTTCTGACATCATAGCTTGTAACGACGGAAACTGGAGCGGCCCGATCCCACAATGCAATGGTAAGCCAAATAGTTGCCTTATCATGTTTAAAGTGAATTAGTTTATCGTTCGGCCGTGATATTAATGTGATTTATACTTTGCTTGTAGATATAAACGAATGTTACAGTCTTCCGTGCCAGAATAATGGCGTGTGTAACGATGAAATTAATATGTACACGTGTACCTGTATGGCTGGATACCAGGGAATTAACTGTGAAACAGGTAAATCAATCAACCAACCAATCAATTAAGAAATAGTCAATCAAATAATTTATTAAACACTCAATTCATCAATCAACTATGCAATAATAATTATATCAATATACCACTAATTTAATTTATAAACCAATCAATCAATCCATCGATCAATCAAACATTCAATTTGATTCATTTCATTTCAATTCATTTCATTTTCATTTTCATTCAATTTGCCCATCAATAATTATTTTTGTTCAGAAATACTTGTTGTATTACATCATATAAAACCCAGTTTTACCACATACATCTATGCTTGTGTTTTTCTATAGACATAGACGAATGTGCCAGTAGCCCATGTATGAATGGCGCTGCCTGTACATCTCCTAGCAACATGGTAGATTTATATGTGTGTACATGTGCCGATGGCTGGCAGGGTACCAACTGTGAAATAGGTGAGTGCAATTTCAGATAATTGTACTTTATTTTAGCTTAAATTAATTTTCGCTGAAATAACTTGTTGGGTGTTTTGTATGGAGTTTATTTTCTCTAATTTAAAACGTGCGCATGCTAATCTTTGAACCGCTCTGAACACTTTTACAGAAGTTAACGAGTGCGCCTCAAATCCGTGTCAGAACGCCGGTACTTGCAATGATCACATCAACGAGTACACTTGTGACTGTCTAGCTGGTTATGAAGGAACTCGGTGCCAAACAGGTCAGTCGTACGCATTTATGAATAATTTGTAAATTGGTGACGGGTCGCGCCCTCTAGCGATGAATCGCTTTTATAACGTCAAATGGAAATGTATGGGTCTAAGTAATGTCATCCAATCAGACAACTGTGTTTGGTTGTGAAGTTGTTCCTCGTGTAGAATATAGCAAATCTCTAAAGACTACTTATAGGACGCTACTTATAGGGGTGGTGTATTATCTGTCTATTGATATTTTCTATTGTTTTTTTCGTTAACCGTGTGCTCTATAGTTTGCTACATACATGTCTAGTGTTTTTTGTTTATTATAGTCATTCTACATATTCGTTTTTCCTTCTGTACATTCATAACACTCAATAAATACATTAATACTCTCTTAGTAATCTCTAACCTATGACTATTGTTTCCGTTCATAATACTTTTTTAACATTCGCACGCCTCCTCGAGGCTCATGATGCACATCGCCAGTGGCGGATCTAGGGGGGGGTTCTTGGGGTCTCCGTTGAAAAATTTATTCAATTTGTTTTTGTATAATATAAAAAAAATCATTAACTTAGTCTGGCAATTTTAAAGTTTGGACCCCCCCCCCATAAAAAATTCTGTATCCGCCCTTGATCGTTTATGCTTAACAATACAATTCAGCAATGCCCGTTTTGAACAGCATTTGGTATGAAAAACCGGGTACATATTGTTGAAATAATCTTTCAAAATTACACCAAACATTCGTCATTTATTTATCGTTTCGTCATCATTTCAAAAAGAAGTCGACAATTTAACATACTTGCATCGATGATGCGAAAAGAGTACGTCACGAAATCCACCATCTTGTTCAGCCTCGTTCGTCTTATAATTATTAAAAGTACACCTTTTGACAAGCTCTTCTTTATAAGAAATACTTGTAATAGACCGAGACAAAAATGGCCACCTTGGTCTCGTTCAGAGCGAGAAAGCCCCTAAAGTAATTTTGCGTCTACTGTTCAATTTGCAATTTGGTTACATGGAATAGCGGACAATGGATGCGACGACGAACGAGAATAGAAAACAATTTAAGAGATAAAAGTTATGGCTCTAGTGGCTCTTTCGCTCTCAGCGAGATCTCGGTTGCTATTTGCTTGCCTGGTCTAATTGAATTACCCTGAGACAACCATCCTACACATCAACTTTCAGACATCGATGAGTGTAACACAAACAACGGTGGATGTGATCACCAATGCAACAATACCATGGGATCGTTCAGCTGTTCTTGTACCGACGGCTATGAACTAAATAGCGATACTGTCAGCTGTAATGGTAATACATTTATTTCTGTGTCAAACTTCACTTCTTTATAAGAAACACGCCTTTCATCAGTGAAATCCGTCGTCACAGTATAATTCCTGTCTTGTGTTGAACTTAATACCCCACTGTTATTCGTTGTTTTGTTTCGCGTCCTGTGTTTATTATTCTGTGCGAATACATTACCTGTATCTGTATTCAAATCACAATTTATTCTATGGTTCTTTGTTTCTGTGTCGAACCACCTCATATATTGTCATAGTAAGTATCAAAATCGCTCTCCTATTTCTGATACATTTCTAGAACAAGGCATTGGCGGGTACCAGTGTCACGTGACATTTTTGTCTGAATACGTCATCAATTCTGCCATCATATTGTTCATCCTAGTTCGTCTTATAATCACTACAATGTATCTATGACACAAGAACTTGAAATATAACTTGAAACTTTTAGTCTGTTGTGGGTGCAATTGGTTACGCATGATACGGTTAACGCCGCCGATAACTTCTAATTAGTATGAAAGTTAATGACGTAATCGAACAGATTATCGCGTGCACCTGAAACCTGTAAGTGTTCTGTTGGGGGAATATGCGTTAAAGCCGGGGAGTCGTCACCTGCACATGCATCAGATGGCCATAGCATTTTATTGTTTACACACAAAGGGTCTATCCATGAGCCTTTGCGTTTTTAGCTTATGTTGTTATCGTCGCTTGGGACTCAATTCCCGCGCGTGCGCAGGTAATAACCCTCCCGCTTTAAAATATATAAAATATACACTATCGAGTTATGTGTACCACATTCTATTGCATTATACCAACAATCGGTGAAATTTGAAAATCGAAATTGATGTAAAAAGTCGGTACATGTATGCGTATAAGTCTCGTCACAAAAACATAATCTATATTGCAATTTATGTTTCTAATAATGTCACGTTCAGATTATGTTGGAATGTTAGTTATCTGATGGTGCAAGAGTAATGATTATGTTTGAGTATGTTTTTCAGAGGGTGGACAATAATTGGAATTGGAATTATTTACCACTATATCGAAATATGTATTTTTATTCTACATCGACGCCATAAAGCGTTGGGACTATTTCTAAGAGACACGTGTAGAAAACGTCATGTACAGGATCTATGTATGTATTTAAAGCGAGAGGGTCGTCACCTGCGCATGCTTTGTAAACAATGGCACGCTATGGCCACCTGACGCATGCGTAGGTGACTACTCCCCCGCTTTAATAAATATCATTCGCTTTAACGGTTCAGACATTTTCTTGCAGATATTAACGAATGTAGTAATCTAATACCATGTGAAAACAACGGAGTATGCTTAAATAACCCCGGATCTTACACATGTGACTGCACCACTACTGGTTACCAAGGGACACATTGCGATACAGGTAATAGGGGCTGCGAACATCTCTTACTTCGATAACTTGACCTGTTCAGTAAAACTAAAAGTACAACATGAATTATGTCTTTATTTTATTATTTCTTGTTCGTTGTTTTTCTTAGATATTGACGAATGTTCGACGAATGACCCATGTCTTAATGACGGTACCTGCTCTAATACGCCCGGTTCATATACATGTAACTGTACAGAAACAGGCTATGAAGGTCCGGAATGCCAAACAGGTAACCTACAATTGATTTATATTAAAATTATTGCGCTTCCAATAGCGACATTCCATGTGTCGTCAATGTTCATATTATGCAGTCGTACAAAGTAATTATATTTATATTCAACATCCAAAGAGCAATTATATTAAATAAGCATTTATAGGAAAGATATACAACATCCAATATTATAGAAATATTGACTTGGACCAAGGTCAATATACAGATTTGTCGACCCGAAGAAAGCAGTGATGGTTAATCAGCATTGCGTAACGACTGCGCAAGCGCAGAAGCCAAATATTACATCTCTGACTGCTGAAAAGTTAATCCTTAAATATATTGACCGCCAAATACGCGAATCTGATTGGCTATTAGAGCTATGGGGTACAATATTATAGTATGGTGCAAACATAGCATAAATGCAAGTGCTGTTTAATGAGATAAAGATGGCAGTAAGTCGGGAAATAACCAGCTCTCCATTCTTTTTTTTAATTTCTCTCAAAATATTAGACGCACTGCTTTCACCGGCGATTGTAACGCGTATTGTAGCTAACTGGGTCGTACAAGTCTAATTTTAATGAATCATTACGGTCACGAATGTTATGTTGTTTGTCAATTGACATTGCAGCCATTTGTATCTATGGTTCGTTGTCAGACAATAGTCAATATATCTATAATTCTATAACATACATGTTTCAGATATCATCTCTTCTCTCTGGTATGTTGCCATCCAATTATGAGACTGTGCGGATCTTAAGAATTTCAAAAATTTCACTCTATATCAAACATTTAACTTTATCTCAAAGTCTATTTATGCTGTATAGGATGCAATGGCATTGTCCATGCTCTCGATCATCAGCGTTTGCTTCGGTTGACCAAATAGTGCTACAGCGTTTTCGTTTTTGGCGTGGTGTTTCTAAATCCAAAGAAATCCAAAGTTTAGATTGTGGAGTCCCATTTACTATTGATTCATCAGACATTCAAGTTGTGAGAAAAGCACGGAACGGGCCTTGTCATGAATAGTTTTAATAATCTTTGGGCAACAATCAGCATTTCATTAATTTAACATTAGCTGAACTATTGACACATGCTTTATTATTATTATTTTCAGATATTGATGAATGTACCTCTA